CAACTGGATAAAAGGTTGCAGTAAAGGTGCAGGACTGACGTAAGAATGCATCCAAATGCCGTTTCTTGTAACCCATGAGATTGGAGCATGCCGTGGGAATTACAGGTACTGAACGGTAGTTTGAATCATCTCTAACGTGAACAGTTTGTTCATGTTATAGGAGAGTCCTCGTCACACACAAAGGTTAATCATGGAGTTCCACAGGGTTCTGTGCTAGGACCAATTCTGTTTACTTTATACATGCTGCTCTTGGACAGTATCATTAGAAGCCACACCTCAAACATTGTGGTCTAATTGTTGGGTTTTCTCTGTTTTTGTAGGGTCTTTTAATTTACTGAATTTAAATTTAATTACACAAATACACATATTATTAATAGCCAATGTGACTTAAAACTAAGTATAACAAAAGGTGCACAGAAAAGACAAAAACAGAAAAAAAAAATGCATCTTTATTGCTGGTAATAGGCATGTGACCTCAGCATAGACACTCCCACAGTCTGGCTGTTATTTGGTTACCAGTTTCTACTCTGACAATGTACAGTGATGCACCGAGAAGGCCACATGCAAGATAACATTTATCGTTACTGTTGTTGCATAATTCATATCACGGGAGAAATAAAGGCACCGCTTAATGCTGGTAAAAGAAGAAAGCAGGAAGTTGGGTTTTACAGCAAATGAAACGGAAACGATTGGAGAAACATTCAGATACACAGATCCTGGCTGTCTCTGGCTCAGAAATCCATGCATTCAAATGGGAAAGTATAGGAGATATTCGCCTGATGAACGAATTCAGCAGATACGTAGATGCAAATGATCTTCCTTTTTCTTCTTCCCTCCTATGTGACTGTTTTGGGATCAAAGAAAGTCTGTACAGAGAGGAGAAACAGGAGTGTATATAATTATCAGCAGTGTTGTTACTACTTTATTCTTTTATTTTTTTTTGCTGTAAAGAGCTCAGAGCCAAATGTGTCCAGGGGCTTTGGGAAAATTCCAGGCAAGAAGCCTCATGTGAGCCACCAGGGTTTAGTGTTTGACTGATGATCCTAATTAGATCCTAACGGCAGTCCACAGCGTGCCCAGTCTCCTGGGTGTGACCAGCACTGAATCAAGCACAGACACAGGAGCTCAGATTCTGTGCTACATGAGGCGGCACGGTAGCACAGTGGTAAGGATTATTACTTCTCAGGAAGAAAAATTCTGGGTTTGAACCTCTTGATAGGCTCGGGCCTTTCTGTGGGGTGTGGATGTTTTTTAGTGTCTATTCTTTTAAAGGTTTTATTTCCCTGTATAAAACATAAACAAACAGCTTGTGTGAATGAACTTTGGTTTTTAAAGTGTCGCTTTAACTGTGATCGACTCACCAGATCGAGTTTAAACCTGTAAACTGTAGGTCTCTGCTGGCCTCTGTTGACCACCTCAAGTACTGCAACACACCACAGTTCAGTTCAGAGGAGCTCTCTGGGCATGTTTTTGGGTTGTGGGGGAAAACCAGCACATCCAGAGAAAACCCATGTAGGCAAAAGGAGAACATGTAAACTCTCCATAGAAAGGTACCAGCAAGTTTCACCTCTGACAAGGATCTTCCTGTGTCAGGGGTGTTTCTTCTTGTTTTAGTGCTCTCATTGGTCTTGATCATTTGACTGCTCAGAAAATCCATGACAGTCACCTTGGTCTTCAAACAGCTCTTCAAAGCTTTGAGGTGTGTTGGGGCTCTTTGGCTTTCTGCTCACAGCTTGAACGCAGAGGGCTGGAGCAGGTCTCTGATGAACATAGTGCTGATTGGTTACTGCAGGTGTTCCAACTCCCATCAGCCGTCCAGTCTCACCACCTCAATAGTTTGGAGTTGGTTCCTGTCTTGGTTTACAGATACTTCTTTCTCGTAGGCAAACTCAACCTGTAAAAAATGGAGTCTTACTATTTCTGCATGTGTTCATCCGGTAAACATGCTTCCTTTAAGTCTTCCTGATCTTGGTTTGGATACAAATGATCCAGTTTGGTTAAAGTGTTTTAAAGCGCAACCTCTTAGATGCTGTGAATGTCTACTAAAACTTTCTCTTTCAGATTTGTTTAATGTTTCAAATGCCTGAACTCTCTTAGGTAAATATTCTTTCAATTTCTTTTAAAGTACCCTTCAGAAATAGTTCAATCTTCTTGAAGGGCATTCAAACATCTTTTTTGGATGTTGGCTGCCTTTTGTTCTGTTCTCTGTCCCACACTGCTTTAAAGATGATGTCCGAGCTGTGGGGAGACCCACCTTGAGTGTTCATTGTGTATCTATGTGGCTTTTCTTTCTATCCAGGTATGATTTATTGCATTAGCTGTGTTTGGGATCATTGTCATGCTAAAAACTGAAGCCCATTAGAAACTTTCCTGATGGTACTGCATCACTTTATGTTCATAATTTCATCAGGTTTGGTAAGATCTCCAATACCACTGACTGAAACGTAGACATAAACCACGATAGAGCCTCCACAGGTTGTAGACATTCACTACTGTACATCTCTCCCCCGTATATACTGTGATGACTTGACTTAAAAATGTCAAATTTGATCTCATCACAACATAATAATGTTGCCACTGATTTTCATTGCAGTTCCTTCTGTCATTTGGCATACCTCAGCTCTTTCTCCCTGCGACAGTCACCCTTCAATTCCGCTGAGGATTCGGTAGATGATCAACTGCAGGGCCAGAAGAATCTCTCAGGTCCCGTGTCCGGTCTTTTGGATGTTTTGCTGTTTCTTAAGTACATGACTTTCAGGTACCGCTCATCTGCTGTAGATCATTTCAGCAAAAAGCTCTTTAGAATTATTGTGTTAGTGCAAAAATACTATTTTATGGGACTTTTGTTTTGTTTTAATCCAGCTAAAGAAATGTGAACACATGATATAGTTTTGCAACAGGCTGCAAAGTGTCTACATACAAAAAGTAAAATTGGATCTCAGTTCTCACTCACACACATTCACACACACACACACACCCTGTGAACCCAGTGAAATAAAGCAATTCAGCATCTGGGCTTTATCACAAAACAGGTTTAATTTAATATCTCTTTATTTTTTAAAATAATTAAACATTTGTATTTCTCCAACCCTTTTTTATCTTTTTTTTTTTCAGCTTTTAAATCATATTACATCTGGGCCATTCTAAAGCACACATTAATTCTGCAAGGGAGGAGGGGGTGAGGTTCACTGTCAAAGACTCCCAACAGGGCAAAAGTGGTCTGCTCAGTGCCTTCCCTCTACACTCGCTTCCCTCCCCCCTCTGACCCTCTCCTGCCTACCTGCCCTCACCCCTCCCTGCTTTCCTTCCCTCCCACCCTCCCCTCCCCAACTAAAAAAAAAAAACAAAAAAAACAAAGAGAAAAATTATATATATATATATATATATATATATATATATATATATATATATATATATATATATATATATATATATATATATATATATGTTCAAATGGTCAAAAGAAACTTCATCAAAATATTCAAAATGAGATAAAAACCAAGAGAAGCGGGAGGAGTGAGACAGGAAGAAAAAAGAAACAGACTAAAAGAAGGGGAAACACTATCATAAATACCAGGAAGTTGTTCCATAATACCTCTTTATATACTGGATACTCCTCTCCACAGTTTCCTAAGCAAAAAACATAGGCTAAATTACTACAAGATACAAGATTATCAGTGTACTGCATTCAATAACAATTTACAGGGTTGTCTTTTTTTGTCACTGTTGCTGTAATACTGTGAAGTCAACGCGGCGCCCCCCCAGTGGGCTTAGAGGGACGAGGCGAGAGGGGCGGGAGGTGATGCGAGGCGCTCGTCTTTTCACACGAGGAGTACTTTTCTTTTTTGGCGCTCCTTTGAGGACCCGTTATCATGTGTGTGTGTTGTGTGTCTGTCGTTAGCTGTGAGTCCCCCGTTATGGCCAGACAGTACCAGTGCCAGACTGATACCAGCGATACCTGGTATGGCAGGAGGGACGGGGTCAAAAACAGAGAAGGAACGTAATCAGCTAATGGAAGGTAGCCTTTTTTTTTTGGAGAGGGGGAAATGAATAGGAGTGTGTTTACATGCAGATGGTTCTGGATTCAAATTGTTTCTGGTTTGTATGTGTTAATCTCTTTCTGTTATAACATCGGGCAACCAGCCACATTGCCAGGGAAGTTAATAAAATGAGATGCTGAATAACTATAAAAGACTCAAAAGAGACACTCGTCTCATGGGACAGGTGAAACAAAAGCACCAGGAGAAAGTTTGCACAAAGCCCCCATCACCATTTCAGTTATTGCTGTGTGGAACATTTATGACTGCACACGTTTAAAGTTTGTTTTGAGCCTTTTTGTTGTTGTTGTTTTTAACATCATCTGTATTGGCACTACCACCAGAGGGCGCCAAAGTAAAGGGGGGAAAAAAGAACCCTACACTTACTGCTCAATTTTCAGCATTTCAAATCCCAAGTTTGACAGTTTTAGTCAGGATTTATGTAGTTATGTACTCTCCTGATTTGCATGGACACACATGTAAACACATTTAAAGAGTCAGTGGTGTGTTTGTGTGCACTGTGAAAGGCCCTGTTGTCAGATTAATGTGTGTTTGTTTGTTCGATTCATTGCCTGTTTTAAACAGGAAGCAGAATTCGCAGACAGGTTGGTGAGGCCAGGGAGATTAGGGGTGTTCTTTGGATGGAATGGGGCGACTGTGATTGGTTCACTTGGGGCCTGGTAAGACCGAGAGGGAACAGAAAGATGGAGGCAACAAGAGGAAAAGCAAAGAGGAGAACCAAGAAAATAAAAATGACATATGGGACTACACTGAAGAAGACTGGGGTGAAGAGTTAAAATCAATCTAACCTCTCTTTTTTGTGTTTTTTTTTTAATATTTTCCAAGGGTTCATTCCATGTCCTACAGTCCAAAAAGTTTTTTTTCTTGTTTAAATTCCCCTCCCACACAAGTGATTTTCTCATTTTCTATTTTTTTCTTCCTTTTTTATTATTATTATTACTGTTTTGTTTTTCCATTTGCAATAATATCAGTTTAAGGGAGAAAAAAAGAAAAAAAAACAATTATTTACAGTGCTGTTGAAATAATGAAAACAGACGTAATGAATCTACTGTAAAGTAAGTCGCACAAACACAGGAGGAAAAAAAAAAGCATAAGAAAAAAAAGAAAGAAAGAAAATTAAGAAACCAGCGAGCGCTCTGTGTCGATCCAGAGACGACAGCCTGTATCAGGAGCTCTGGGCAGACATGGCTAATGTCGAGGGCAGGAGAGTCGGGATCAGGGCAGAGGAGGAGCGGGGAGTCGGACGGGGAGAGGAGGAGGAGAGGAGCAGTAGGACAGGGGAGGGACAGAGGGGAGCGCGGCGCTGTCTTTGTTAAGTTGGGATGATTCCGTCGCTCCTAAGGCCCCGCTTCAGCTCCAGGTCCTCCAGCTTCTTCCACAGCTCCTCCCGTTCCTTCTCCTTCTTCTTCTCACTGGAACACAAAAACACATAAGCATTAAGCACAAAAAAAGCATTAGCTCCAAGTGAAAAAAATAAAGAAATGTTTTTATTGAATCAGTCACTCTAAACGGAAGTCTGGTGCTCTAACTCAAAGTATTTATCAGTGTGGCTTTTCTTTAACCAACATCTAATATTGATCCTGAGACTGACACAGTGGGGTGATAGTAGCACTGTGTGTGTTCCTGTAATGTGTTAAGCAGCTCCCTGGAGGCATCACAAACTATCACATTATTCATGAGTCCCCATCACCCCTGCTGCTGCTGCTGATGTGAGCAGCTTCTTACCGCTGGCGGTCCGACTTGTAAGTGGCTGTGAGTTCATCAAATAAGGTACTGTTCATCTCCATGAAGGCCTTCAGTACATTGTATACCAGCGCCACGATTGCCCTGAGAGGGGAAAAGCACAGACAGAGTAAGACAACTTACAGCGGCACATTTTTATTGCTCCTTCAGACTTCTGTGGTGGCAGACACAGAGCTTCCAGCCTTCATTTTTGGATAAATTATGGAGACATCCAGCGATGTGTGCCCAACTGATTCGCAAACTAACAAACATTTTTTTCCATTTGAGATCAAAATCAAGCCCATTTGTAGATTTTTCCAAACATTCCACATTTATTCTTAAAAACAGGAACATGCTGTTCCTATTAGCACTGGAGTATAACCCTCTTTAAGATCCATATGTGCCCCATGCACCCCACAACAGGCACAGCCAGCTGGCATGTTTCGATGACTGGTTGTGTCTACAAACGTATCTGAATAATATCAACACTTGGCAATAAATTCGGAATAAAACAACCAAAAAACAGGTACACGATAATGAAGTATTTTTCAGTAATTTATATTTTCACCACTGGCCAGCTAAAGTCTAATTTGCTGAAAATCAGGAATAAATGAACGTGCATGCATGTTTTCCTGTGTTAGAGCCCTGACTTTGCCTTAGGAGAGGAATCCTGAGGTGACTAGTAACTTAAATGATCATATGCAGTTTCAACAATCTACTTGTGATCTTTAAATTAACACTAATTCCCAATTGATATCAGTTTTTTAAGCTATATTTAGCTGTTCGGAATTCAGATTTTTCTCAAGAATGTGGACCATTGTAATGCAATTCTGCTGGGGTACAGAGGGTTGTATGTGTGACTCTACTCAGGTCTTGAAGTATACATTTCCTAATGAACATCAGTAGAAAGTGAAAACATTAAGCCTCATCTATTACACAGAAGTCATGCTACTCACGGGTTCCAGTGCTCTTTGGAGATCCTGTAGAGGCTGGCAAACATGATGGGCAGGATGACGCTGGAGTTCTCCTCAATCAAACTCATGATGTACTCGTTGTTCCAGTAGTAAAGAGCTCGCTCTGCAACCTGGGACGAGACGGACGCACACTAACTGAGCCATGTCTTCACCACCAATAACCACTCGTCACTCTTTAATAACCAATAACTGTTTAAGCACAAATGTCCCCCATGATACAAATTAGGCCACCCCCACCCCACAGGAAACGTAGGCATTGTCACAATGAGTCATCGCTGACCTGGAAATGTGGGCTGGAGACACATCTGGAGATCTGTTTGAAAAGCGGCTCCTGGATCTTGACGAACTGTGTGGGTTCGATGACGTCCAGAATCTCCTCCAGCTCCCCTAGAAACATCACCTGCAGTGCCGTGGAAGAGGGACAATATCAACAACACACAAGATGATTATTATTGTTGTTGTTTTGGGGGTTTTTTGCATTTAGCAACAAATGAGCCTCACCTCTTTTTGACTGCAGGTTTTTGGCCAGAACTTCAGTAAGCCTCTGATGACCTGAGAGAAGATGCCACAGTTCATACAGTTGGCTCCTTTTCCCACCCCCCCACCCCCCCTTTTTTTTTTCTTAAATACAAGTATTTGAGTTGAAATAATAATAACAGTAATGTCATTCTTTACATTTCTGACTCTGTCGTTGATGTGAAACACTTTCATGACAAACTGGGAGGGGGAATGAAAAATGAATGTCACACAAAGATGACTGATAGGAGGAGTTGTGCATAGATACTTACTGGTTCTGTTAATGTTGGGTCTTTCTCTAGGAATTGTACAATGCAATACGCCAACTGTGAGGAGAGGAATCCGGAGGTTAAAACTAACATCACATTAAGCCTCGAGCAAGGCTTACAAGAGCAGCTCAGACGTACAAACACAGCAGTGAAAGAGCTTTCAAATGATTTTACTTTTTAAACCACTGTGTTTCTGCTGATTTTCACGGCTGCTGTCAACTATAATATTATTACACATTTAGATTCCTTCCGTGTATAAAAACACACAAACATACACATAAGCTATAGCACGAAAGCACACCTTAAAAAGCAAACAGGATACTTTTCGAGGTTCCAAGTTCTGTTTGTGGATAAACTACGCCTGGGATTCCACCAAATCTAAAGGTGGCAGATATTAGCTTTTACCCACATACTCTATACACACTATTGTTACCTGTGCATGGAAGAGGGACAGACTCCTGACAGTGTGGAGGGGAATCAACACTTTGACCAGAAACTGTTTATGCTCTGCTTTCAGTGGCAGAGCAAAACCATTGATTATACTGGAAGAGAGAAGGAGGAGACAAAGAGGAAAATGTGAATATAAATTAAACAAGAACACATAAAAGAACTTTATTGTGACCCTATGAAAGCAAGTGGAAGATCAATGAGCTGCAGACCAAAAGAACACTGTTTATACGGGTGATGTGGCCTGGGGAAGAAACACAGACCTGATGATCCTCACAAAAATCGCAACAATCCTGTTTGTTTTACATTGTGTTGTATCAGATTCGTGTTTGTTTAAGCGACAGTGCTCCGTGTCTATGCTGTGTGCCAGACAAATGTCAGAGATGTTATTGAATGTATGTGCCAGCAAGCTCTCCAAGGAGAAGCCCGTCTCATTCCCATAGTTGGAGTGTTTCTTCTGGAGTTGGTTTGACTTCATCTAATGTTGGTTGATTGGTTTGTCACGCTCGTCCAGGCTCTCCCTGACAATCAGTTGAAGCTTTGATAGTCAACAACAAAAATGTATGACTGTCAGAGGTCGGACTGCGGATCATGTTCCATGAAACACATCGTGTAATTTGTTATCTGCCGACCTTAACGTCATATACATATCAGTGTTTTCCGCGGGTTAACCCTCTGTTTGTGGCACAAACACACAAGCATGCATTCCTAACTGAGCTACTAAATAATACTTTTATTTTTTACGTTCTTTGCAATTATTTCAATTGGCTCTATTTTGAATGAGTCTCATTGCAGTCCAAAGCTACTGTCTCAGACTGCAGGTGGTGAATGCACCCCTGAAGTCCTTGTTGTTATGCAACCTCGACGACCTTGGCAAAAGGTCACATGAGCCAGTTCTCCAACTTTTTGCAGTTTCTAGTTAGAATGGCCCTCAGCTCACAGTGGAGCTCCAGAGGAGAACAGAGACTGCTGTTGCTAGCTGCAGTCCAATCAGTGTGACCACAGGATGAGATCTTCTCCGAAGAAGCGGCTGAACGATGTGGAAAAATGGTACAAAAGCAAACTCAAAAGAGCTGACGCTAGAGATTGCCTCTCCCAACTTTCCTCTTATTTAAGTTCAAAGTCTGATTACAAAATGTTTTTAAAATGGTCAGAGTGGGCACCCAAATGTTAAGTAATGTCTGTGTAAAACACTGCAGGTTCCAGAGCACTGAAGACGTTCCAAGGAGGTTATCTGGATACGTTTCTGGATATTAAAATATTTTTATTAACAAATAAAGTATTACAGAAAAATGCCCTTTTCTCTGTCTGACCTCAAACAACTCGAATCACAAAGTCAATGTACTTTCTATCTTGCTTCACTGCTTAAAAAGACTGTTAAGCTGAAAGGAGGATTAATTTACTTCTCATCTCCAAGTCAAACCGTGCTGCTGGAATTCACTCTGCTCTGTTAAAATCCTGTTTTTATGGAACCTAATCATTCAGCGTTTTAGTTCCATGTCTTTAGCCTCCTTGGGTATCTTAAAAAAAAACTAACTCCAGCTTGCCTGATTAAATTAAAGATGTTAAAAAAAAATCCTCATTGTTACATCTACAAAACCACAGCAAGATAGCAGAGTTGAGTTGAGTTCTGCTGTCGCTCTCAGGTCTCAGTCACTCAGGCTAAAAGCATCAGCAATAACAGAGCAGAATGTAAATGTGTGTCTGAGGCTCAGAGGCCCCCCACATACCTCCCCAGGATCTCCAGCAACTCAGCCACCCCGTTGAAGTGCTCCGTCTCATAAACAAAACTGCAGACAGACAGAGAGGGAGGCAGACCGAGGAGGAGATGAGAGAAGGCACACGATGAAAAGACACAAGCACTAAAACTCTCAAAGAATGGCAAAAAACAGGTAATTTGTAAATTAACACAAATAATGACAACACACACACACACACACACACACACACACACACACACACACACACACAAAGAGGAGATCCAGGTTTGAACCAACAGCCACAGATATTTCTAACATCCTTCTCATCCTTTGGCTGTACAAATTGATTTGTTGCTTCTCCCCAAGACAAGAACTAACAGACTTAAAAACTCCTTTGTCCCACACGCCATCAAACTGTTTAACTCCTCTCTGGAGGGGAGAGGGAGGGGAAACAGGAGGACAAAGGAGGGGGGAACAACTAAGCTGTAGTGCCTCTTCACCTCACTGTACAATACCTTTTGTGCAATACTTTTTGTAAATAGTCAACAGTGCAATAGACTCAATACTTGAAATGTGCAATTCACTTGTATTTTTATTTTTTATTCCTATTTATTCTATTTATCCCCTTTGTATATTTTATTTATATTTGTCTCTGTATTTATATGTGTGTGTGTGTGTGTGTGTGTGTGTGTGTGTGTGTGTGTGTGTGTGTATATAAATATATATAACAATTCTGTAACTGTAACTTCGGTCGTTGCTGTGCTTTTTGGAAGTCGAATTTCCCAGAGGAACCCACCCGAGGGATTAATAAAGTTCTATCTTATCTTATCTCTTATCTTATCTTAATAATCAGAACAGAAGCAGAAGAGTCTCCGTAAACTCTCAGTGTAAGCTTGTTTGCAATAACTGGCTCTTTTGGGTAAGCGCATACTTTATTCATTTACACATTCAGCAGACACACAGTGCCATGATCACTTATTCTGGGGTGGGTTTCTCCACGTTTGAGTCCCATATTCTCTTTATTGTGGCCTTTACAAACTTCTGAGGAACACTGACACAAATGTAATTATATTAAAGGAAAAACCGTCATCGGCTTTCAACAGTGTCATTGTGCCTGGGTACTGACTCTATAGATGGCAGGGATAAACTTCGTTCTTCTGAAACATATTTTGTAATTTGGAGTTTGGATGATTGTGAGAAAGAACAGAAAAAGAGTGAAAAAGAAGGTGTAGAAGAATAAAGTGAAGAGGAACATCAAAGGGAAGGTGAAGGGAAGGTGAGGTGAGGAGGAAGAAAAACAAGATGAAAAAAGGTGATGAAAGTGAAGAATGAGGTGAAAAACAAGGAAGAAGGTCAAGAATTATTATAAGACGAAAAAGGGGAAGGAGATGATGATGAAGAGGACATAAACTTCCACGTGATGTCACCAACAGGAGAAATCAGGTTGGGACGCTAATCAGAGTTGTCATTTTTCACATGCATCACACAGCAGGAGACAGTCCACTTTAGCTGCGTTTCCACTAATAGAAATGTTTGGTTTATGGAGGAAATGTGACCCACTCATATGACTTCACTGAACAATTAGCTGCTCTATTCTTGCATACGATCCAATCAGAAGTTTGGTGCAGGGTGCAGGACTCAGCCTGCTTAACAACATTTGTGCTTTCTGGCATTTGTTGGATGATGTCTACGAAAACTCGGGGCTGCTGTGCATGTGTGCAAAGGGCGTAGGACATTGGTCCATATTTCCCACAGGTGTTCAGCTGACAAGACCATAGCTTACAGCTCACATCATTTTCACTTGAACAGCACCGTCATCCAGGAGAACAGGGTACACATCATAAGATGAAGGAGATTGCTCAGAACAAGTCTGTATTGATTTTCAGTGACCTTTCCCTATAAGGTGAGAAGTGGAGCAAAGCTCTGCCAGCAAATATTCTCTACTGAATAAGAGAGCCATCTGATCCCCTCACGGCAGACATCAAGAATTCAGCTCTTTGCTTTTATTTGTGAGCCTTGTCTATTCGAATTTTTAGCTCCACTCTGTTGACTGGCAACTTTCTACCGTGGCTTCCTTCTTATCGTGAAAAAAATTCCACTCACATACAAACACAAGCTTTTTCCAGCCCAGGCATCTGAAGAATTCATGTTTACTCACCGTAGAAAAATATTATTGATCTGTTTTCGTATAAAAGCCCTCAGCCCCAGGAATTTGCCGTAGATTCTATGCAAGACTGTCTTCAGATAGTCTCTCTCCCGAGGGTCCTCGCTGTCAAACAACTCCAAGAGCTGGACACAAGGTGAGGGGGGAGAAAAGTCAATTTTAGGGAGTAAGGCAGAAAAAAGCAACGTGCCTTAAAAGCAAAGAAAGATACGAAAACGCTAAACTGACAGTAAAGAAGATGATGAAGTAGAAAAGCAGAATTCTGAAGGTGACTCAACAACTCACCTGTAGGACAAACTTCTGGTCTATGTACTTTTTGGCAATGCTGGGCTGGAATTCCTGACTCTCCAAGAACCGAATGAAGAACTCGTATACCAACTGGAGAAAGAAACACGGTTGATAAAGAATTCATGTTAACCTCCGACGCAAACAAAACTTTGTTTCACATGATAACAGGTGGAAAAGAATAGAAAAGTCCAAAGGCTCATCGCTTCTTCTCAGATATTAGTGCATTGAATTAAGCCCATAAATACTCAAACAGAACTGGATTAAAGGGAGAAACGGCTCAAAAGTCACAAAAAGCAGAGTAATCTGGGATGAGCAAGGTAGAGAAAAAAAAGTCCATTTAAGTTAAATGGAGTTTAAATGTATATTCTGGGAAATATCATCATCCATTTTTCCATATAAGAATGAAATAACCACTCTCACAACCATCATAAGACTAGAAGCATGGGGGCACTGCTAGCCTGCTTCTGTTTGAGATTCAGCAACAGGCCTGCAAACACCTCTAAAGCTCACTAATTAGCGTGCTACAGCTCTTTCATGTATTATGTATTCAAACACAACAGTACAATTTGGTCTTGCTCTTGTAGGCAGCCACATACACCCTTCTCCACACGTGGACTTTCCAGGGCACACCTCCACCCCTCTACCTGCTGCCAACTTTCACTTCAAATCACATCATTATCTGCAAAGCTACGGTCCACAAAGACTTTTTGCAGGCCTGCTGCCTTATTGCCATCCTCACCTGATCCTAGCCAGTTCCTTCCATTTTATGATTTCCTATCTCAGGATAGTCCAACCTTCTCTACTTCCAGCTTTTCAGCACACTCTCTTCACTTCTCCATCACCTTAACTTGTGGTACAACCTTCCCAGCTTAGCGCCTCCTCGTGTTGCCACATTTCTTATTAAACACTGCATTGTTTGCTCATCCCTATATTCCCTCCTTTTAGATTCCTAAATTTTCTCCTTACATCTCAAGACTCCTTGACACCCTTCCTCCAACTAGATCAAACACCTGTATCATAATGACTGCCTCCTTTGGTTGGCCATCTTTCCCATAACTCTCCAGTACTACTTTGCTCTTAACTTCCTCCTGAACTCTACCCACCACTGCTCTTGCTTCAGCCTGTTCTAAGGAGCTTTACCTGGCAACTCACTGATAACTGCACAGAAATGTGGGTATATAGACAAACTTAGCAGACGTTAGTAAAGAAATTACACCAAAGTACCCCTAAAGGGTTGTCATTACACACACACACACACACACACACACACACACACACACACACAGAGGAGATCCAGGTTTGAACCAACAGCCACAGATATTTCTAACATCCTTCTCATCCTTTACCTGTAAGTGTGGCCAGGAGGCCTCAAGTGTGGGCTCATCCTCTTCAGGGTCAAACTCGTTACTGTCACTGGGCGGAAGGGTCCGGAATATGTTGTGAGACACCTGGAACAAGAAAGCGGGAACTTCAATCCAGTGACTGGAAATTGGGGTTCTGACCCAACATATAGAAATATATATGTTATATATATATAGGTATATAGATGATAACTGCTGTTTACATGAGGGATGCTTCAATGCAGGGAACTGTTCCCTCTTGTCTAAAGTCTAAATCTTATGTACACGTAAACATTTTAACTGAAACTAGGTGTCAGTTTAAACAACTTTCCAAAACCACATTTCAATTCATGCCTTAATATTTGAGCCTCTGCTTCAGTACTTCAGTTTTTCTTCGAACACTTTCTTCGAGTGGATTGACAGGGTTAAAATTTAACAAAACATTTTTTGGGGAATTATTACACACAACCATGGACCTTCTTGTCAACTATTCTGATGCATTTCTCCATTGAACAATCTTCAAACACTGCATCTTTAACCAGACCAGCATGCTTTAAATCTGGCAAGAAGTCAGAAGTCTCACAATCCTCACTGCAGCATCTACATATGTCTACACTTCAGCTTTAGAGCACTTAATTATGTGTTCATAGTCTACTAGATAACAAAAACTACCATGAAGCAGTACATTTAGCCACATACAAAGCAAACCTAACAGAGTTTAGTGTAAACCACATCAGTCCAGATGTGTGTGGCAGGTGATACATTAGATTCACTAAGAATAATACAATGAATTACAATGCTGTCCACATTAGGGCTGGGCCATATTATACCGTTCACGGTAATACCGGTATAATGTTAGGCAACGATAGGAAAATGAAATATCGCGATAGAATGGGAGTAAAACGCGCATGCGCAGTGCCTTTGTTTTCATACGCACATGGCCGATTGTTGAGTGAAACAGATGAACCAGAATTGGTTTGTACAAATGGTGCAACTTCAGTGATGTGGAACTGGTTTGGTGTTTGTCCGTCAGATACACGACAAAGCACATTTTTTTGCAGAACATGCAAGCGGCCGTCGTTATTGTCGGACTAAGATGCTCTTAAATCTGGGAGTAATCTGGGTCCTAAACTCCGTATCCTTCTGGTCAAACGAACACTGCAGCATCACTGAGAGTTAAAAACTGTCTAAATTCTTTCATCTTTAATAAAACGATCAGCATTGCTGCTTTACCAGGTGTAACTATGAAGTTTAACTTCCAGGCATCCATGAAAACAAAATTTATTACATTTAACGGAGTTAGAAGTTAGCAGGAAGCTAGCGGAAGTTAGCTCGCTAGTTACCTAAACATGATATTGCATGTTCTGACTGAGAGATTACTGAAAAAAATCAAACGTACAGCAGGATGCTGTAAACGGACCAAACAACTGAGATAATCCATCCACAATACGAGGTTAGTCATTAATATACTGCAACAACATGGGAATAGAGCAGCTGCCAGAGAATTCAACATTAATGAATCAATGGTACAGAAGTGGAGGAAGCAAGAAGAATGAGTTTAATAAAGTTTGATTTATCTGACTGCTTTGTTTCGCTTAATGTGCCTTATAATCCCGTGCACCTTATGGTCCGAAAAATACGTACTGCACACTGCAGTTTAATGTTGCAAAGCACCTCTTTTTAACTTCAGTGGATATTATACATGGTTATGCTCAGGATATGTCAGCCCATTTCTACTGGAAATGCCTTTTGGTTAAACTTTCAGCAAGGAATTTGCATTTGCACTGTTACATTTTTATAAAGCTTTAATGTACATAAAAACCAGCTTCTTGTTTAAGTGAAAATAAATGGAAGGTTGTCTTTTTGCGCTAGTAATGTTGTGGAGTTGTATTTTGTCTCGCATCAATTATATCGTCAGTTATATCGTTATCGCAAATTTTCAAATATATATCGTGATAAATATTTTTGGCCATATCGCCCTGCTCTAGTCCACATGTATGTCTCTTCTTAATGAGACCGACTTTGTTAACTCTTATCAAAGAGTTGTCATCAGGCAGAAACCTCTGAAAATAATATTGTGCTGTGTCAGTTTTTCTAAATGTCCATTAGACCAGTATGTTTTCTGTCTCAGCACAGGACTGCTTCTTTTACAGTACCTGTATGTACTGCAGCAGACCTTCAGTTATGACTGTCCTCAACGGCCTGAAGATATACTCTGTAGAAGGCTCCAAGTAATTAAACATAATAACAACTTGGTGCACTAGGTTAAAAAAAAAAAATTAGCTTTGAGTACTTCAGGGCCTCTGTTCATTGTGGGGTCTGTGTTCATTAGCTGAACATACGTAGCTGCCAACATGCACACCAGCTCCTGTTCTGCTCTTATTTTCCTCCTGTGTATCTGCTCATCTCCTATGTGTCTGTACACAGAGCACTCAAAAATCACTGCTATGCCCCTGCTGAGCTAGGAAAAGAGGGAAGCAACATTTCAACCACACAGGATTAGTTATTTATTCTTTAGTAGTAGACTTTACATACTAAACCCAAAAAATGGACGTCCCGTGGGGCTGGATAGGGTCTGTGGCTGCTGCCAAATCAAAGAACAGAACTAAAAGTGAACTAACATAGCTCATAAATTTGACTGACCTACAAGAGAGAAAACGAAAAACAACTACAACTACTCCTTCCCTGAGAAAAGAACACAGCAACACCCACTCGCCTGCTCTAGTGAGTCTAATTAAAGAATCAGACTGAAGCTGAATCAGTTTCCTCCCACTGAATAATGACAAGTAACAAATTTAAACAGAACATTTTCACTATGTCCACTCACACCTTTACACCATCAGTGCTGAGGGCTGCAGGGGGCCGACATTTTCCAGCCGTGAGACAAAACATGACTGCACAAAAAGACAACTGGGAAAAGTGAAATCTAATTATTACAAAGAAGCTTTTCTTTAAGAAGTAAGCTTTGACCCAAAGGAGGCACACTATGCAAACATGTCTGTCAGTACTCATTTTCAGCACCATTGGCTTTACACACCAACACTACCTACAAGGGCCACACAGCACTGCCCCATCAATGACTCGAAATTTCAAGGTGCATGCTACCTTAATGTTTCACGTGTGTCAAAAGACAGTAAAATTCTTTAGATATGGGGATGACACGCTAAGACAGGAAACATCTCCAGACCCCACTGACAAAAACAGACATTTTTACCTCATTAAATGTAATAAAATTTACAGTTTTTAGTACCTGCTCCAAAGAGGTTACAATTTTGGTAGCAGTCTGTGAAAAACGATAGATTGTAAAGTTTTGAATGAATGGCGAACAGTCCATTAAAATTTAGATTCCATCCACAAGGTGCTCAAGGTCAGCTTAATGATTTATTGGTCAAAAATTGACAAAAGGGCTTTGTGCAGACAAACCAACACCCATCACTGCAAACTTTCCTCCATCTTTGAGATGAAGATGGTGTAAAGTTGTGAGTGGACATGGCGAAAACAAAAAAACTGAACTTCAGTGTTCTGTACAGACAGAGTGCAAATCTACTGTTTACGCAGAATGGGCAGATTCATTCTTTCTTACCATTTTCACAACCTCGGGGTAGGCCTGTTCTGTCAGGTAGCCCCGGCTTACGGTCACGTAGTCCACCAGCTCGTTGAGCGTGGAGCGCTTGTACTCCTTCATCTTGAGGTCTGACAGCGTGTCCATGAAGTCAAAGACAGTACAGCACTGCTGCAGCTTCTTCAGGAACAGCTCCGGCTGCTCCGCCGCCGGCACGTCTAGACAGGCAAAAGCAAACACAGGGGAAAGAGAAAGATGATGACAAAGGTTAGATAAATTGGTAAAGACACATATCTGGAGCGAGCAGATGCTTCTGACTCCCGCAGCTACCAGAAAGCTGTAATAGCAAACACCACATGGTCAAAGACGGGCAGAGTAAAAACAGGGATTTGAGCAGACCTGGTGGGACAGAGGCCTGACACACAAATAACCACATTAATATTTATTGATTTCTTTTTTCATTACCATTTTATGAGAAAAGCAATTAATGGTCATGGTCAGGATTCTACCCTTTGAAGCTAAAAACCTGCTTTCTCCATGAATTTACAAACTAAACAATTAGCACAGCAAGTTGTTGGTAATGAAAACCATTTTTAGCCACATTGAGATCAAGTTATACTTTCTTTACTTCTTAGTCAATTGTCTACAGGCAGATTGGGTTAAAGACACATCCAATACCATGTAGTAGTTAAACTGTTACTGATCTGCCCTCATCTCGTGCTGATTTTGTCGCTTCCTGAATCACCTGTTTTAATATTTGGAGCGAAAGCAGAGCATCTCTGTTTGGTGTAAACACAAGATGAAGTAGGTGGGTAGTTACAGCCACAAAGAAGAAAATGTGTGACTTTGCCTAGAAGAAGAAATCGAAGTTTCCGAGCTCTCCAATAGATGTTCACGGAGGACTGTTCAAAAGAAACGAAGGATGCTACCAGTGCATGCCTCAGTTGTAAAAGTGTGCTTCTTGCTCTGCAACAGCTTTTAACTTATTCATCTTCCCTGCAGACCCCTGTCTGCACAGGCAGGATGAGTGTGACAGCCTCATTATCCAGCAGCGAGTGTTTCTGATGGGAGAGGCAACGCTGTCACGAATTGTGTGGATGTGCAGGCAGAAGAAGGCGGCAGGTGTCTTTATTCTGATCCCACTGTGACAGACACGACAAGAAGGTCGCACAGAGTTCAGACCTGTGGGGGAGATGAGCAACAATCTTCCCAGATCGCCACAACTCAAGACCCGGTGCTCTCATCCCGGCAGGACTGGGCCATTATTATGTAAGAGATAAGCTGCTGCTCTGAAGACAGCACACTGCTACTACTGTGCATGTGTGCGCTCCACAATTACACTTCAAAGCGCTTGGCTGCATTTTGAATTCTATTGCTACTGACGATGAGTCACAATATACATGTAAATGAGCGAGAAAGTTAGGGAGTACCGGTGAAATGACTTTTTCACCTCACCATAACATGCAGGTTTTGTGATAATGAGTAGGTGATTCCTTATTTTACCTCTGAAATACTTCATTTTTCACCATTTTCAATTTTACAAACCAAATAATAGACTGAAAGAAGGAAATATGCCTATTTTATAGAAAGAAATGCAAAAGTTTTTTTGGATATTTGTTGATTTTACTGAGCTCTCTCACTTGAGCAGGCTCTTTCCAGTAGTAGAAATAGTGAAAAGCACTGATAAGCGACATACAGATACACAAACTGTTACATCAAGTCTAGTTTTAACTACAAATCATTATGAAAACAAAGAGAAATTCAATGCGATGCCTTCCTTTAACGTGCTTCCTGTCAGTCTGTGGCAGCTCCAGTTTAGCCTAAACTAAGATGACTTTAGTCAACAAAATCCAAATCCAATTCAGCTTTGTAAAAACTCTGACAAGAGGGGAACTAATAAAAGTTCAAGGACACATGATGTGTGAAGCGTCTATACATTGGTGTTGCTGTTATGAAGAAGCAATCACTGTGAGGCTGAATAGTGCATAAACTGTTTGTATGGCAGAGAAGCAGAATCATATTAACGTATGACCAGAATACTTCAACTGTGCTGTAAGCATCCTGTGTAGCAAACCTCAGCATCCTGTTAGAAATAAAAAGGGTTTAAAATGTCTTCTACTTTACTTCCTTTAAATAATATTAACTTGGGAAATTAGAAAATGATCTGCGGCTGAAGAAACATAATTAAACTTCTGTATAAATGGATGATTTGGTTCATTCTTCCTTTTTTGTCAGCTCATTACAATGAATGGCTAAAATCCTCTTCCTGAAGCTCTGACCGTTTAAAGAGAAAGTGCAGTTTCCTGTCCTGGGGGAAAAAAGTCCTCTGCAGATCTCCTTGAGCGCATTTAAAGTGATTATGCTGAATGTGTTTTGATCCAAATGCCACTAGTTACTCACGACCTGCTGGCCTCCTGCTTTAGCTCAGCTCATTGAGGATGCATCCAACCGGGCCAGTCACAATCAAACCCAAACCCTGGCTGACTGGCAGCAGTCCTAATCCCTGCTCCACTAACTTCCACAATAAACGTTCATTTATCAGAGAGAATGCACAGCAAGCTGATTTTAGCTGAATTTTTCACGTTTGGTTGAGGCGTTACAACACACGCAAAAATATTCTTATCCTGCCAAGTTTACTCAGCGCTCCAAATAGCCCACAAATTGTGCTGCAGTCTTATTGTACACATAAGAGGGATTCACTCTTTTCTGCTCAAATTAAACAATCTGCTTGATAAAGAACATCAGAAATTAAGACAACTAGAAGATTCATTTGCACTACTTTATTGCGTTGCTGACCCCAGGGATGACCTGGTTTTGTGGTGTTTCAGCATCCATTTCTGTTCACTGCTTTAGCTTAATGGCCTGCAACACAACCCTTATTTGCTCACTCTTATCACTCATCAGTGTTGGATTCAGCAGTAGCAGACGGCAAACCCAAATAAACCAGCACACACAGTAACACAGTAAACAACTTTCCTGACCTATGGTCTCTCTAGGTGAAGAACGAAAGTCCTCCGTGTTCTATCCCTGTATGTTCCTCTCCACATCTAAACCTGTTCCTTTAGATGAGAAGAAAAAAGGGCAGGTAAAGATTGTCCTACGTCATGTCTGTGTGTATGTAGTCTTCTCTTTGAACACATAACTGCAAAACAGGAGAGTAATATGGCATCAAAGTGGTCCCTCTTCTTCCACGTCATGTGTTGCATGTGAAACACCCTTCATGTGCATGCCTATGCATCGTGAAATATGAACTGTGGGCTGGAAAAAAAGTGCATGCATCTTTATCAAGAAGGTTTCATCTGTCACATTGTTGTGTAATATGCATATGGGTGACAAGGCTGTATACAGAGGACAATGTTCAAGAAAGTGCTATACAGTGTATAGTGAGTGCAGAGGGCAGTGTGCAATACAAGAATAAATATGCTGTCCTCTGAAGATGCACCTTGATATCTAGCACGATCTAGCCAGATGTTAGTAACAGTGCTGTAAGACGGTAGCGTCTGAGAAACCTGGAGGCCAAGTCAACACTTCAGAATTGTTGTGCTCCTCAATCCATTGCTGAACCATTTGTGCTTTGTGGCAGAATGCATTATCCTGCTAAAAGAGGTTTTCCATGAAACGGTGTACATGGTCTGCAACAACACTTAGGGAGGTTGTATGTGTCAAAGTAACATCCACATGTAAGGTAGGACCCAGGGTTTCCCAGCAGAACACCTCTGCCGGCTTGCCTTCTTCCCATAATCCATCCTGACTCCAAGTGTTCCCCAGGTAAGCAACACATAGTCACCTGACCAGCCATGTGCTGTAGAAGAAATTCTGATTCATCAGACCAGGCCAGTTCTCACATGCCCATCAGTGCTTTTTATAATTTCTGCTGCCATCACCTTTTATGGTGGTGGACAGGCATCTGCATGGGCACCCTGACTGCTCTGCACCTATGCAGCCTCATACACCACTGTGATGCACTTTGTGTTCTCACGCCTTTCTATCAGACCTTTTTGGCTCCCCACATGCATCAATGAGCTTTGGTTGCCCATGACCCTGTTGCTGGTTCACCACTGTACCTTCCTTGGACCACTTTTGACAGATACTGACCGCTGCAGAACGGGAACACCCCAGAAGAGCTGCTATTTTGGAGATGCTCTGACCGAGTCGCTTAGCCATCGTAATTAGGCCCTTGTCAAATTCGCTCAAATCCTTACACTTACCCATTTTTCCTGCTTCTAACACATCAACTTTGAGGACTGAATGTTCACTCGGTCCGTAATATATCCCACCCACTAACAGGTGCCATGATGAAGCGATAACCATTGTTATTCACTTCGCCTGTCAGTGCTCATAATGTTATACGTGATGGGTGTATATCTGAGGTTCATCACCCCAGTGGCATCAGAAGAGAGCTCTTTCTTAGCCTCTGTATTTTATGTTTGGCTGTGTATGCGCCTGCAAGCTGTAACAATATACATTATTATGTAGTCCAATTTGTTGCACATCGCAGCAAAAAAACAAAAACAAAAAAAAATGTTCTTGCTTGCTTTGTGTGTACTCCTGCACTCTTTGGTGTGTATGTGTGAGTCCTTCCTCTCAGTACAGCAGTGTACAGTATGCTGTACATCATTACTGTAATTACCCGCTTCACAATTCGGGGTCGGATTGTGTTGGAGAGCCCGGGGCCTCGGAATCCTGCAACTCTGATTCTGTTGAAGCATGTGAACAGCCTTAAAGGAAGCTATTAATAGACAGATAATCACAAAGGACAGAGTAATCCCTCCACACAGACAAAGCGAGGGGGCATAGCTAAACGGCTTGGAGCTGGCTGAGAGACTACCAGGGTGAATGAGGGGAGAGAAGCAGAGAGAGCTAGAGACACACTGTGCATAAAAATGTGTGCAACTGTACTTAAAAGTATGTGAGAGAATAAGCGCGCGCGTGTGTGTGGCCTAGGATAACCCAGAAACCACCCTGATATTGCGCGCACACATATAATCTCAGTTAGGCCCAGAAATCAGCACAAAGAGCAGCCTGTGGTGCAGCCGTATATGAAACCTCTGAAAGGGGTCCCAGAGAAGGTTATTCTCTGTGTGTATGTACATCAGAGTGGATATCAACAAGTAATCTTCTGTAAAAACAGCCTAAATGATGGAGGGGGAAAAAGAAAAGAAGAAGAAGAAGCAGCAGCAACAAACCAACCGTATTCCATCAGCATTTTCTAGTAAGA